TCTGAGGATTGAGATATGTATTTCCCATAAACATTTAAAATGTTTATTTTCTTCCAAGAGTCTGATTTTTAACCTCAGCTTTAATTTTTAGCTTCCTGTTGTGTATTGCTACTATTTTTTATTACTGACGTGTGTAAAGCAAAACTCATCATTCTCCCTCTTCTTCCTATATTTACTCTCTCTGTTATTGGCATCAACATTCAACATTATTCAAGTTTGATGATGCCAGCTTTGATCCCTTCTCTTATCCTAAGTCCATTTTATTCTAAGAACTGTCAATTCTCCCTTTCCACCTATTCTAATTTAAACCTTGATTACCCCTCACAGTTTTAGCATCTTCTTGACTAGTAATTTTAACTCCAGTCTTTTCTCCTCTTCTCAAGTTATACACTGTTGTAGAATAATCTTTTAAAACATGGCTCTTGCTCAGCTGGTGTGGCTCAGTGGTTGAGCATTGACCCAAGAGGTCACCAGTTTGATTCCCAGTCAGGGCACTTGCCCAGGTTGTGGGCCTGATCCCCAGTGGGGGGCAAGCAGGAGGCAGCCAATCGGTGTTCTCTCATTGATGTTTCAATCTCTTTCTCTCCCTCTCCCTTCCTCTCTCTCTAAAAATCAATAAAGAAAAAAATTAGAAAATATAGCTCTTGCCCTGGCTAGGTGGCTGAGTAGTTTGGACCATCATCCGTGCAACAAAAGACTGCAGGTTTAATTCCCAGTTAGGGCACATACCTAGGTTGTGGGTTCGATCCGTGGTAGGGGCTCATGTGGGAGGCAACCAATCGAGATTTCTCTCTCACATTGATGTTTCTCTCTCTCTCTTCCTTCCTCTCACTCTAAATTCAATAAAAAAACATATCCTCAGGTGAGGATTAAAAAATAAAATAACAACAGCAACAAAAAAACATGGCTCTTTTTATGTTACTTGCTTTTTCAAAAATTTTCGTTGTTCTACCATAGAGACTGTGAGGAATTCACTACAGAGTTCTTTTCTTACAAACACACATTATGAGGCTCAGGAAATTATTTCTTTTATTTTCCATAATGGTCACAGGTGCAAGGAGTGGCACCTTAAGGTTACTAGACCTCACAGTTCACTCACAGGCTAGTTCTCTCCATTTTTGAAATATGACCCAAACTCTTCAGCATGGCTCTTCCCATTCTACCTTTCCATAGCTCACCTTCAACTTCTCTTGCACCTAGAGTCTAACTCCATTGAAGTCTCCTGTGCTATTTCAACTCCCTAATAGTGTAATGCTATTCCTCCCGCCCTCACTTGTTGAGATTCTTCTGTTCCTAAATCCCAAGTCAGTCTTCTTTTCCTACCGACCAAGCCAGAAAATCAGGTCCTATACTCCAAACCATGCATTGCCTCTAACCACATTCTGCCTTGTGCTATAATTATTCGTGCACGTGTAGAAAGCCCTATAGACTATGCACACTGTTTGAGTAGGGCCCTCTCCCTATATCTTGTAGTAAGTGTTTACTCAGTAACCTGATACCAGGTGATTCTTTCTTTTATCTGTTTCATAGAGTGCTAATCACATTGCTAAGAAATAACAGTATGCTTCTGTGAAGAGAAGGGTGGTCAGGAGGGAGGGATGAGATAAACCAAAGAACTTATATGCATGTATGTGTAACCAATGGACATACGTAGACAACAATGCTAGGGGTCGGATCAGTAGGAGGATGTGTAGGAGGAAAAAAGGAGAAACATCTGTAACAAAAATAAATTAATAAAAATTGCAAAAATAAAAATAAATAAATAAACATTAAAAAGAGAGAGAGAGAGAGAAGCATGTTCAGGGTGTGAGCCAACTCATTCCTCGAGTGTAAAGTGTACTAACCCCAGCTTTGTACCAAAATAGATGTTCTGACTCTTAACTTTCTGAACAAGAGTAATCAAAACTATGGAATTAGACCTGGGAATTAAACTCCTTTTGTTAATCATATTCAGTCCCTCAATTTATGTTTTTCCTTTTTTACAAATATGAGAACATATCTTTTGTATGTTTTATTTTCTTTGATTCAGAATTGATCACTGTAGAAGAACTGACAACATTTATACCCACACCTATACTGGAAGCATAATTGTACCAAATAATGTCTTAAAGTGTTGGTCAGTATTTCCTAAATTGGATTTAAAGGATTATTACAGTGGTTTTACATAAATAAGTTTAGCTGAATTGTTTGTAGCTTCAGTGTCTTTTTCTTAAAAAAAAAAAAAAATTTTTTTTCTTTATTGATTTTAGAGAGAAAGGGAAAGAGAGATAGAAACATCAATTGGCCACCTCCTGCATGCCCCCCACTGGGGATTGGGCCCACAACCTGGGCATGTGCCCTGACCGGTGCATGGGTTGACACTCAAACACTGAGCCACACCGGCTGGTCAATGTGTTTTTCATGTTAGAGAAAAGGCTGACAATGTTTGGTGGATTTGTCTGTTATTAACTGGAAAACAAATAGAGAAATACCATATATTATTTGATACATTCGGGTTTATTTCAAAGAACATGTATAGAATTAAGGTTATTTTATCTAGGAAGAAGAGATAATATAAAAACCAAACATTTGCCCTGGCTCAGAGATTAGAACGTCGGCCTGCGGTCCAGAGAGTCCCGGGTTCGGTTCCCGCTAAGGGCACGTAACTTGGTTGCAGTTTGCCCCCGGCCCCGGTTGGGATCGTGTGGGTGGCAGCCAGTCAATGTGTCTCTCTCATATCGATGTTTCTCTCTCTCACTTCCCCCCCCTCTCTCTGTCCCCCTCTATCTGAAGATAAATGCAAAAATGTCCTCAGGTGAGGATTTAAAAAATATATATATTAAAGAAAAACCCCCCCAAAAAACAAACATTTATTGCCTGCTTATTCTATGTCAGGGTCTTTTCTTTTTTATCTCATTTATTCTTTATAAGGATACAATGAAGTAAGCACTGTAATTGTGGATGAGAAGTCTAAGATTTAGGGACAGACACAGCTTTAAGTAATGGGACCAACACCTATTTAGATGCATCTGTCTCTAACATCAGAGCTCCTTACTATTAGAGGGTTCTATGCTGCCTTCCAACTTGGGGATTAAAACAAATGAGTAAACAAAAATAACAAAACTAGTATTGTTTTCAGACAGGGCTTTAGTTGGAAGAACAAGTACTACATGTGGAAAAGTAGCGTGGTCTTTTAGGGCTGCTTATTACTCACTTTGTTGTTGTTGTTTTATCTTTATTTTTGAAAGTTTTACAGATGTTCCCCCTTTTCTCCCCAATTGACCCCACCTCCTCCCAGCTTCCACCCCTCTCCTGCCTTCCCCACACTGTTGTCTGTGGCCCTTGGTTATTATCACTCACTTTGTATCACGGGACTTTTAGTGTGAAGTGGAAGCCCAGGTTGCTTGGGTACTCGCACCCACCGTGTGTTCTGCTGTTGGAAGCAGTACCTGAGCCATACATTCTACCAGATCAGTTATGCTCTGTGGTTGTAAAGAGAGCTGCAAATAGTACTTCCATCTATGTTTTTCACTCTTTAAATAAGGAAACTATTGACTCACTTCTAATCTCATTTCTTCTGGACAAAGGTTGGAACTCCTGTGGTAATTACTGGGGCAAAAAACACAAATAAATCAGGGTAGGGACCAGGTGATATCAAAGACGTGGCTTTATGCATGCTTTGTGTTTAAAGGATTTTAGGAAAGAATTTAAGTAATAGAGGTTTTAGTCACCTGAATTTAAAGCCATTATAATTTTTCCAATTGTTAAAAGGCTTACAAATGATAACAAAAGCTAATACTAATATATTTTATGTTAGCCCTGACCGGTTTGTCTTAGCGGTTAGAACATGGACCTGTGGACCAGAGAGTCCTGGGTTTGGTTCCTGCTGAGGGCACGTGCCTCAGTTGCAGTTTGACCCTGGCCCGGTTGGGGTCGTGTGGGTGGCAACCAGTCGATGTGTCCTCTCACATCAATGTTTCTTTCTCTTCCTTCTCTCCCTCCCACTCTATCTGAAGATAAATGCAAAAAAAAAAAAAAATGTCCTTGGGTGAAGATAAAAATATATATATTTTTTACTTTAAATGTTCTTAATACTACTGTAACATGCCTAGTATTTTAAATATATTATCTTTTTAAATCTACATCAAAAGCTTTATTTGTAAAGGTAGGTATTATTCTTATTTTTTCAGCTGAAGAAACTAAAACTGAAAAGATAATATAATTTATTTAAGGTAACCAAGTTATGATTTTAACTGAAGTCTATCTCACCTTAAAGCCCTTTCTGGCCCTGGCCGGTTTTGCTCAGTGGCTAGAGTGTCGGCCTGCACACCAGAGAGTCCCGGGTTCGGTTTCCGCTAAGGGCACGTACCTTGGTTGCAGTTTGTCCCCAGCCCCAGTTGGGGTTGTGTGGGTGGCAACCAGTCCATGTGTCTCTCTCACATCGATGTTTCTCGCTCTCTCTTTCCCCTTCTCTCCCTCCTGCTCTATCTGAAAATAAATGCAAAAAAAAAAAGCCCTTTCTGTTTATATTATCCGTGCTGTGTCCCCAGATCTTTCCCCAACAACAGTGGTCAGTGCTACAGAGCTTGGGGAGAGAGGGCAGCCAAAAGAAACTTGGATGTAGGTAGAACCCAATTTGGACTTGAGTTTACAGAGATGCTGATAGTACCTCCCCTGGGATGTAATTCAGAAGAGTAGAACATTTCACTCTAAATGTGACTTTGGAACAGACTTAAGTTCAGGAAAAGGCCAGTTGATGTTTGCACAGTAGGGTCAGTCATAAAATGATGGAACTGGGAGAGACCTTCGTGATCATCTGGTCTAACCTTCTCATTTTACAGGAAACTACAACCCAAAGATATTGAATCATTTGACCACGGTTATGGTTTTTGAGAGAACAAGTTGAGGAGTGTGGTCTGCTGGTCTAAGTCTCTCTGCTCTCTCAATATACCACTGCCAGTACTTTGGATGCTGGAGAATTCTCTTCTGTGTCTAATATTCTGACTTTCTTTATTGATTAGGTATTTCAGGATCTATAGACAAGATGGAATCAACTCCATTTAATCGACGGCAGTGGACTTCACTATCATTGAGGGTAACGGCCAAAGAACTTTCTCTTGTCAACAAAAACAAATCATCGGCTATTGTAGAAATATTCTCCAAGTAAGTGCTGATTCTGGTCCAAAAAGACCATCTGTCCTAAGCAAACATTACCACCTGTCAGGGAAATCAGTAAAGAAAGTACATGATATAAAATGGCTTTATAGAGCTCCTTTTGGATTTTAAGCACCATACAGGCACTGTGGAGAAGGAAGATGATGATAATAATCAGGAGACACATTTTGTCTTTGAATTTTTGTTTAGTTGGAGAAAGAAAAAGTTACAAAGGCAAAAAATAATTGTAAAACATAATTATTAAGCAAAATATTAGCAAGTCCCAAATGAGTAGGAATAAGGCTTAGATACAGAATAAAAGAGAGAGAGTGACCATCATGGGCAGAGGCTAGTCAGGAAGGCTTCCTGGATAAGATGAGTTTTGAAACAAGTTTTGATTTAGTTGAAGGGAATAGAATATGAGGCTCACTCTATCTGCATTGTCCAATATTAGCGGTAGCCACTACATATATTGCTATTTAAATTTAAATTAATTAAAATGAAATACTATTTAAAATTCAGTCCATCCTCTGCACTGGCCACATTTCAAGTGTCCAATAGCTACATGTAGCTGATGACTACTATACTGGACATCGCAGAAACATTTCATCATTGCATGACGTTCCATTCGGTTGAACATTGCAAACTATGTAGGCAAACTGTGGCCCACTGGCTGCATTGTAGCAAATAAAGATTTACTAGAACACTCCCAATGTTGTCTATGGCTGCTTTCCTGCCACAACAGCAGAGCTGCAGCAGAGATCATATGGTCCTCAAAGTCTGAAGTATTTACTATCTGGCCCTTGATGAAAAAGTTTGCTGACTCCTGTTCTAGACCATGATTTGATAGGAGGGCCCCTTTCCTGCTTAATTTGAATCCCTAGTGTATAGATAGCATGGTGATCTGAACATTGTATACACTCAACAAATGTTGAAGAAATGCTATATGTAAGTAATAAATTACAATGGCAAATACATCCACCTCGTTCAAATAGAGATGCCATAGTGGGGGTGGGAGGCTTAGGGCAGAGGGTAGTTTTACCACACTAGTAGAGTTTGTTAATTAATAGGAAGCTATAATGCATGTAAGAGAAGAAGGATGGTAAAGATTTGAAGAAAATAATTCTGGGAGCTATATCTAGGATATAATTAAATACCTATAAGAGGTCTTTCTTTTTTTTTATCCTCACCCGAGGACATTTTTTCATTTTTTTGTTCAGATAGAGTGGGAGGGAGAGAGAAAGAGAGAGAAACATCGATGTGAAAGGGACACAAGTGGCTGCCGCCCACACATCCCAACCAGGGCCGGGGACAAACTGCAACTGAGGTACATGCCCTTAGCAGGAACCGAACTCGAGTCTCTCCAGACCACAGGCCAATGCTCTAACCACTGAACAAAACCAGCCAGAACTCAATAAGAGGTTTCTGTAATCTATGATGTCACCTTTTCTTCAATAACAAGCACCTGCTATGTGGAAAACACTGCCCTTTCAAGTGATGACCGTGGTTATTGCTTAAGGTGAAGTGGAGGTTGTGTGAGATTTCCTATCCCTTTTACTTTCTACATTATGCATTTTATATTGCTGTAATTTTATGTCACACATGTATTATTCTTACATTAAAAAAAATAAATTAAGATATTTCAGACAAAATACCTGAAACACCAATCAGAAAGAATATATGTACCCCTATGTTCATAGCAACACTATTTACAATAGCTAAGATCTGGAAACAACCCAAGTGTCCATCAGTAGATGAGTGGATAAAAAAGCTGTGGTACATGTACACAGTGGAATACTATGCAGCTGTAAGAAAGAAAGATCTCTTATCATTTGAGATGAATGGAGGGACCTGGAGAGTATTATGCTAAGCGAAACAAGCCAAGCAGAGAATGACAAATATCACATGATCTCACTTTTTTGTGAAATATAATGAACTAAACAAACTGATGAACAAAATTGACCCAGAGACATAGAGGTGGGGTACAGACTGAAGAACCTCAGAAGACGGGGTGTTCCGGGGGAAGAGATAAACTGCAGAACTTATATGCATGTATGCATAACCAATGGACATAGATAACAAAGCTGGGGATGGGGCAGGGAGGATGGGGAGGAAGGTGTCAATGGGGGGAAAAGCAGAAACATCTGTAACAAAAACAAATTAATAAAAATAATTTTAAAAAATATTTCAGACAAAATGGATCAAGATCTGGAAAGCTATTAAGACTTAATTCCTTCCCTGGACAGTGTGGCTCAGTTGATTGGGCATCATCCCATGCACTGAAAGGTCACCGGTTCTGTTCCTGGTCAGGGCACATGATGACCAGTGGTGAGTTTGATCCCAAGTCAAGGTGCATACAGGAGGCAACTGAGCAATATTTCTCTCTCTCCAAAATGAAAAATAAATAAAAACACATTGAAAAAAACAACATTTAATCCCTGACCTCAAGGAACTTAACAGTATGTTTAGTATAGTTTATGTAATAGAGGCAGTCCCTATACTTCCTTCATCTTAAAAATCATATTAGGTACCTGTTAATAAGATGGTGTTGCAGTTATCTGTGCTGCATGAAAAGAAAATCTCCAAAGTTTAGTGGCTTAAAATAATGAGGACATTAATTTTGCTTATAAATCTCTAATTTGGGCAGAGCTTGCCTCTGCTCCCCTCAGATCAACCAGGATGCCTCAAAGACTGGGAGCCATAATTACAGACTCACTCAACTCACAAGTGAGGCAGTTGGTGCTGGCAGTCATCTGGGCTCTCAGCTGGGGCCCCGTTTGGAACACCTACACATGCTTTTCCATGTGGCTGCTTGGCTTGGTTGGCTGCCTTCCAAGGGCAAACATCCAGACACAGAGGGAGGGAGGGAATGAAGGAGGAAAGGAGTCAGGGTCAGAGGATGTATTGCCTTTTATGACCTAGCCTCAGAAGTTGTACTCCTTTGCCACATTCTCTTCATCAGAAGCAAGTCACCAAGGCTGGCTCATATTCAGAGGGTGGGGAATTTGACTCTACTTTTTGATGGGAGGAATTTCAAAGATTGTTTTGGACAGGTTTTAAAACTATCCTATATGCCCTGGCCAGTTTGGCTCAGCCATTAGAGAGTCGGCCTGCGGTCCGGAGAGACCCGGGTTCGGTTCCCGCTAAGGGCGCATACCTCAGTTGCAGTTTGTCCCCTGCCTGGGTTGGTTGTGTGGGTGGCAGCCCCTCGATGTGTCCCTTTCACGTTGATGTTTCTCTCTCTCTCTCTTCCTCTCTCTCCCTCCCACTCTATCTGAACAAAAAATGGAAAAATGTCCTTGGGTGAGGATTAAATAAATAAATAAATAAATACATAAATAAAATATAACTATTTTATATGGCTTCTCAGCCTCCCCTTCCCTGCAAAGGTTCTGATTTGATATGTCTGGAATGGGGCTCAGGAATTGTGTTTTTAACAAGTATCCCAGATGATTTTTACCTTCAGGGAAATTTAGGAAGCACTGGTAGTGGAAGAGAGGGACTTGTGAACCTGAAGCAGTGAACTTGAGCATAAAGCAGAATGATAGGTTTAAGCAGAGGACTGTGGAAGCAGAACATGAATAAAGGGAATAGGAAAGCAAGCTGTCTGTCATGAAGAAATACAAAGGGGAGAAGGGACTGGTACAGTTCAGTTAGGGCCAGGTGATGGAAGTCCTCAAATGCCAAATTAAGTTTAGGATTTAATTAAATAAACAGTGGAAACAATTGACGGTTTTCATGCAGGGAGAATGACATGATCAGACTTACATTTTAGAAAGATGCTTCAGGCAAAGGTGTGAAAGGTATACTGGAAAGGTGAGAGATTGATAGCATGGAGACAAGTCATGAGGCTCTCTTGAGAACCCACGTGAAAGCTATTGAGTATGTGGGCTGCAGGAATGGAAAGGAAAAGAAGGATTTGAGACAGTGTTGAGATGTGATTAATAGGACTTGGAAACTCCCTGTTCTGTAGAGAAACTTCACATTCTTACCCTTTTCACCCTCCCTAGCCCCACCTCTCTTTGACTGAACTTGGCGCTTTCTGCACATGCTTCTCTAAAGTATTCTGGGACCAGGAGTCAGGGGTGCTATTCCCTGACATCTACACTACTGTTTCCCATCTCTTGTATTTTGTGCCTTGTTCTGAAGGTCTAAACCTGTGCTTTAAGGCTCACGACTAACTATACTATACTCCTCTTTTCCTTCCATTTGTTGCAGTGGGGTGCCAGCCTCTGGGTCAAGCTCCTTGCCTTTATTGGAGACACTAGCTTCCAGATTTATTCTCTTCTCAATGTTTCTCAGTGGGGGTGCTATTAGCATTTTGGAGAAAGCAGGTCTTCTTTCTGCAGGATATTTATCATCTTGCCTTCCTCCAAATGCTGGTAGTAAAGAATCACTGGTCCACATAAATGACCTGTCTGATATTCTGGACTCACAATTTCTTGATCTTTCCTACTTCTTCAACCTGTACATTGTTTCTCATGCCCCCCTGTATCCAATCCCAACCCCATCAGCCAGAATCTATCTCTGAAATGTACATTTGGATAACCTACTCCAGGATTAGAGCCTCCTGTGCTTCCTCATGTTATTCTCAATGGTCCTGCTCTTTGGCCACATGAGGACACCCAGGCTGTGGATGTCAATCCCCTTCTGGCTTCACTTCCTTCCCTGCCTAACTTGGTCAGTCACATCAGTGAAACTCTCACACTTTCCTCAGTTCCCTTCTCACTCCTTTATTCTGTCCTTGCCCAGCCCAGTCAATTCTCAAGATAGAGGATTTGAGTCTTGCAACTTTCTAACTCTTAAAGAGAGTTAGAAAGTTGGAAAAAGCTGTTCATCTTAGTGGCCTTAATTTTACAGAGAGAAAGTACAACTGAATCTTAGAGATCACCTTCTTATAGCATAGTAGATTGTCTTTTTTCAATGAAGGTTATAAGGGCTAATGGCAGTTATGCAAAACTAAATCCTGAACTCATTCGGCAGAATCAGTGTGCCAAGCACTGTACTAG